GACATGTTTTCTGTTTCGATGGTTATTCCACCTATCCTCTCTATATCCCTCCTTACGACACACTATTTTCTTCGCAATTATGTGACCACCATTTCAACATTTTATTGTCTGGTCGAATCGAACTCCAAAGCCTTTCACATTTGCATAGTATGATAAAATTCAACGCAGTCACATAAAGTCTTTCACTTCAACAAATTCATATCGTTCTTATCGTAATATTTTGATTCCTTTCCAATCTTATCCCATATGCGTTTATCAATGAATTTGTCAATTGTCTTCTTATCATCTACATGATTGTCATCATCAAGTCGATTATCAGTTTCTTCTTTTTCATTATGAGTTTCAAAATCTGATTCATTATTGCACCTATCTTTTTTCCAGATTATGACCATCTTCACCCTGATAAATATTGTCCAACTCTGTAATTTGAATTTTTTTTATTTTTATCAACCATCTCAAAAAAATCTATATCTGCATATACAAAATCAAAACAACATTATTAAAATGTTTAATAACATCAAACCTATATTCTAAAGAGTTGAATCGTGCGGATCATGTGTATCGTAACGCCTATGTATTGGTGCACGACGTTTAATTTAAAAAACAACTCATTATTAAGGTACTGATACCATAACGGTATCGATACATACGATGCTTCTTGGATTTTTTAGGCTTTCCATGCATATTGATACTATATATGTATCGATATCACAATTCCATACTAGAATATGAATTGAATTACATGGTACCAATACCTAAATGGTGTTGATACTTATTATGCTTCTTGGATATTTAAGGCTTGATACGAGTATTGACGTTGTATGCTTATCGATACGAGTATTGACGTTGTATGCTTATCGATACGATAATTAAATATTGGATTTCGAATTTACTTGTACAAAATTTAAATTTAATGTCTAACTTGATTATCGTAGCAAAAACACAAAACACTATAAATTCAATTGTAAATAGTCTTGAATATGCTTATGTTTACTACAAAACATCATAAATTGTAATTTTAAATATTAAAACCAACTTCATAAAATCTGAAATATTAAAACTTAAAAGAAATTCGTGCAATGTCACTACATGCATATCTGGAATAAAATAAATAAACTTCATTTCTCAAATGACATAGAAAAGGACAATTGTAACCATCATCCATCATGAGATAAGACCAAGCCTTGTTTATCATGAGAGTAAAAAATTATAAAATTAGTAATCGCAACAACAACAAAAAATAACACATTTATTTAAGAAAATGGTTCACTTCACTAATAAAACTAATTCTTAACTTCAAATATACATAACAAGAAGACTATTATATTATTATTTCATATGTAATTACCTCATATATAGTTCGCACACTACCAATCCTTATTAGGTTGCCAATCAAAAATAGTTGGATCTTTTTTCATAATTCTCAATTCATTAGTATATGCAGCTTGCGAAATAAAAATTATCAACATACATAACAACAAAGAGTATTCATTGTTATATTTCACATTTAATTACCTCGTATATGTCGTCTTTTTTATATGTGTCGGGCATGTATCCGGTTAATATTGATCTTTCAGGTATATCAGTATGCCTTGTATCCTGATTATAATGCTTGTTTGGAGATGGTTAAATGGTTTTATGCAAGTCGAACTTGAAATCTTCATCATACAAAACATGTGTTTGGTTGGACGATGAAGTTTGGCGCTTTGTTCTCTTGGGTTTTCCTCTTCTTGTTTCAAGAACAACAGGGTTGCCAATTCCAATAGTCTCTCTGCTTATACTGGTTCTTTTTTTACATTTTGTTTTCACCGTTTGCAATTGAAGACTCAATTTTGTAAATTGATCTTTTACCTCATCGAAAGTTTTGAATGTTTGTGACGCACATTGACATATAATCATACAATAAGAGTCTAAAGTCAAATACCAGGCTTGAATTGTTGTTGGATTATTATCCTCAAAATATGCATTCTTATTTTCCGATCCAACATCTTTCTTCACATAAATAGTCCATTCTTTCATTATACATCCTTGAGCTATTTCTTTTGCCTTTTCATATTTCAACACAACAAAGATATGACGACATGGAAAGCCAACAAACTCTAACTTCATACAGAAATAGTACATGGTACCATGTGTGGTATCCATCAATACAATATACTTCTCCTTCTCAACATGCTCTAACCAATAACACATACCTGAATTTCGTACTTCCCTTTTTTAACTAAATAATAACCTTCGTATGCCATTTCCTTGCACAGTGTAGCAAAAGCGTTTCTCATATATACTTGGGCAGTATTACGTTTTAAAGTTGACATCACACATTCACAATACGGTTGTTCATCACTTGTTTTGTAGTCATGATGATTTTCTTCCCATCTTAGAGATTACAGTTGTTTATGATAGTTATCAACAAATTGATATAACATCACCTTTTTGTCAAACCATCTTAGAGATTAGTTAAATGCAGAAAATAAATATAATAATAACTAAAAATCAAGTGTATATGTTTTTACCTGCATAAAAACAATCCTTACAAATATGTTTCTGCCCATTTCTCTTTATTTTTCATACAAATCTTGAACCCATTTCCTTCCTTCAAAGTTGTGTTTTTCCACTAATTCTTTCCATGTCGTTTCAAAATCAGATTTAGTTCTACACTTGTTGGCGCATCAGAAAAAACCGTTGAGAAAACTATGATTGGCATAAGACTACTCATTCCTCATGATATACCATAAACACAATCTATGTTTTGCTGCAAGTAGTACTTCAGAAATGGCATTTGTCATGGCCTTATCTCTATCAGTAATAACAGTAAGAGGTTTGGCATAATCTCACGCTTCAATCAACCGTTGTAAAACCCACACATAGGAGTCCTTTTTCCCATCCACAAGCAATGCACATCCAAATGGCATTGTGTTTAGATGATAATTAACACCAACTAAAACAACAAACTACTTGTTGTATGTGTTGCACTTGTAAGTCGCATCAAATTCAAGAACATGCTCGCGTTCTTTTGTAGTCTGCGAGTGATACACTATCGGCCCAGAATAACTTCTCTAAGTTTCCGAATTCATCCCCTGTATGTCTCACAAAAAAGAAATGATCAGATTTTTGTTTTCAATATAAATAAGCCATCATCATTTCTACGTCACCATCTTGCACTTCCTTTCATTTGATTCTATGTTGATAGTTGTACAAATCCTTCGGTAGAAATTCAATATTCTCAATTGAACTAGCTTCATTCACGAAATTTCGCATCATTTTACTTGCTCCAATCCCAGAGTTGAGCATGCTCTTAATCTTAATTCGGTCTAACCCACTAATTTTTCAGAATGACCTACAAAATAAAACATTAAAGAACATTAAATATATAAGATATAAGTTAGTATGTAACAAATTAACAAATTTTTCATAATTACATACCAGATGTAAGCAACATGTGTTGGCTAAACCATTTCATGGTTATGTTCAGCGTGGAATTTTGCAACTTTCCAATAATGAAAATGTTCATCCAATTTGAATCTAATAAATGCTTCACACCCAACTCAGATGTTCGGTTTTTTGACACGTTTTCTGTTTCGAAGGTTATTCTACCTATCCTCTCTATATCCCTCCTTACGACACACTATTTTCTTTGCAATTATGTGACCACCATTTCAACTTTTCACTATCTGGTCAACTCGAACTCCAAAGCTTTCACTTTTGCATATGTATGATAAAATTCAACGCAATCATCTAAAGTCTTCCACTTTAACAAATTCATATCATTCTCATCGCAATCTTTTAATTCCTTTCCAATCTTATCCCATATGTATTCATCAATGAATTTGTTAATTGACTTCTTATCTTCTACATGATTGTCATCATCAAGCTGATAATCAATTTCTTCTTCTTCTTCTTCTTCAGTATGAATTTCAAAATTTGATTCATTATTGCATCCATCTTTTTCCTGATTATGGCCATCTTCATCCTGATAAACACTGTCCAACTCTATAATTTAATTTTTTTATCAACTAACTCGAAAAAATTTATATATGCACGGACAAAATCAAAACCAACATTATTAAAATGTTTAATGACATCAAACCTATATTCTAAAGAGTCGAATCGTGCTAATCATGTGTACCGTACCTCCTGTGTATCGATACACAACGTTTAATTTAAAAAATAGCTCACTATTAAGGTACCAATACACACAAAGTACCGATACTTTGTTGCCTAAGTACCGGTACACATTGTCGGTGTATTGATATGTCCTACACGAATTGCAAATTGGGAATCGGGAATTGGATTGAAATAAAACGTTTCAGTGAGAAAATTAATGATCAATTGTTCAAATTGGAGTTCTAGAAATGGAAATTTGGAAATTAATTAAAGAATTCAGGTTATACAATTGGAGGAATTTTAAAATTATGGTTAGGGTTTAGGAAATATGAGATTGGGGAAAAATAATTAGAGGGGGAACTTTCACGCCGACAACCACGGCCACTGTCGATGAAGGCGCCGACAGCTGGTCAGCCACCACCCTCCGGTGACGGCTTTGACGAAAAATAAAATTTGAATCAAAATAAAAGTAATCTAGATTACCTTAACGGGTTGTTTGCGCAAACAATGGTGATGGCAATGATTCAATCGAAGGAGGAAGACGAAATCGATGGCGGCGATGACGACTACGTTGGCGGTAGCGATGAGAAAATCAAAACTTATTTTAAAAAATAGTGTTTTCTAAATTGGAGTTTCTATTTGAACTAGTTATAAAAATAAATATTTAAAAAACAATTAAATTAAATTGTGATTTATTTAAAATTATGATTATATTTTTAACTAAAATATAATTATACGTTGAGTACCTTTTATTTTTAACATTTTACAATTTAATTTATTGGTGCTCATCATTATTGATGTTCATCGCCACTTGTCGCACAAGAATCATCTATGTACATTATATCACAATAAGATAAAAAGTTCCATCCATACGAATAACAAAATATAAAACAAAAGGAGAACCAAATATATATATATATATAATAGAAATTAAATATTATATTCGGGGAAGAATTATACAAATTTGCATGTTCACATGCCAGGCCTTGCAGGATTAGTTTTTGGTGATTTAATTTTGGCCATGTCAACAAGGTCTCCAAATAGCTTATCTTCTGGTTTTGAAGGCTTGGTTGGCGGCATGTAAGACGAAGTTTGAACCTGGTAGGAAGAGTTTCTGGAACCGTTGTTATCTCCGATGGACAGCCCATACATTTGTTGATTAAGATACCATTGTTGACCGTGGCCGCCATAGGGTGCCATTGGCTGCCCACCATACATTTGTTGAGGAGAATACACTGGTGCCATTATCTGGGGAACTACAGTAATTTGCTGTGGAATCATGCCCATGTTATACGGTGCTCCTTGGACTCCTTGGGGATGAAAACCACCAAATTGGTTTCCCTGAACAGCCTGCTGCTGCTGGTTATTAATTCCTGACAAATGGCCGGTAATGACAGGCTGAATGTAGACACCCACCACTTGATCACTTCCCATTTGTTGAGGTCCGAAATGGGGATACTGAGGAACTGCAACTAGGCTAGGCTCAGCTGCTTGTGCTTCCCAGGGTGGTGGTGGTAGTGAGCTCATACTCGGGGCACCTCGACATGCAAAAAGTACAATTCATAAATTCAGAAGTAGCAGAGGCTCTTTGTGCTTGAAGTTAAATGCTCTATTCAAGAGCCTTTTTTTAGGGGGGGGAAAGCATATTATAAACAGAAACGAACCATAGGTGGGCTGCAGCTGCTGCTGACCGTTCCAGGCAGGACCCATGCCTTGGGAAAATGGCTGCTCATATTGAGGTAATCCTATGTTCGGTTCATTTCCATTCACATGAAAGTTCTGCTGCTGAGTTTGAGGAGTTAGAGGATATGGGTGTCCGCACAAATCTGAAGACAAGGTGTTAACAGAAGCAGGCGTGTTGTTATCGTCAGGAAACATATCAAAGAGAACAAGGGCCATTTGCTGTGATGATGCAGGAGTTGTTTGTTCTGGTTCTCCCACAGGAACAAGGGCAAGTGAATCATCTGCCTTTGGGAAATTGTAGTCATCACCACTAAGGAGGTCCATTTTCGGATCAACTGCCGCCGGAGGAGTTGAACCATTAGTCATAGGAGGTACAGGGAGCGATGACTGATTGAACGTTTGAAAACTTGTGCTCGAGGTAGATCTGAGAAGAATCTTGCTAGTAAAGCACAAGCACTGGAAACATCTAATTATAAGATTTTAGATAACCCAGAATCAAATGAATTCCAATGCCAATCCTAGCAACCTAAATTTGATAAGAAAATCAGACGTTCCTCAGAAAGAAACGCTCAACCAATCACTATATCTGAAAATTTTCAAAAGGTTTCCACTTGGTCATAATCATGCACCTGCAGTGACATAACTTACTCTGAAAAATCCAGAAACAAAATTTTTCCAAGGATTCCTCAAAACAAATAAATCAAAATGGTGTATGGAATTTGTGATCAAGTTCCAGGATACTGATTAGGACAAGAAGACACTTAATAGACATTATTATTCTTAGAAAATTCTATCAGTCGTATACTATGATACACGGACTCTTCATCATGACATGTGTCCAACATTCGTGTCTGACACTTGGCTATGGGGATATGATCCCTAAGGATCCTTCAAATATATGGGAAATCTCTTAAAAATCTAGCCATACATGTGTCAGATGCATACCCATGTCCGACACTGACACCCGAGTCCGAGTAACATAGGTCGTATGACACAAAAGACCAACAATTTTGATTACCAGATACCCAGCATATACCAGTTCAGTTCAAAGAATAATAATTACCTCCCTTCAGACTGTTTGCTGCTATCCCCAGTATCAACTTCAGGCTTAGATTTGTCTGCTTGAAAAGTTTCTGAAGCTATCTCTCCATGCTTTGCTAGAACGCGCTGCAAATCATCATTCAATGCTAAACCCCGACACAAAAGTGACTCATCCCTACAGGAGATAAAGAAGCACAGGTGATGTTTGTTTTATATGTAAAAGTATTTCTTACAATTCCGTCTATCATTCCATAGACATCTATATATCCATGCAACTTATACACCATACATGCCAGAATAAATGGAAATATCATGCAGAGGTAAATATCTCTTGAGCAATAATGTACTGGTATAAGCAAAAAGTTAAATGGAACATAAAACAAATTAATCCTTCCTCAAACTGCTCTCGTAGCTAGTCACCAAAAAGAATATAATTGAATCGAATGATGAATTCCTTTGATCTCAACACTCGAAATTTCACTCCCTCTACTTGGTCATGCATTATAACAAGTGATACCTTGCAATAACCTAAAAGGCCAGGTAATAAAATTGAAACTAGTCAAAGAACCTGCAAAGGAAAGGACCCATAAAAACAGATGATAACATCAACTCATCAAACCAGATAAATGTATTATGGCGGCTAGGAAGTAATTAGTAAAACCATTTAGCATCGACCTAAAACCAATTGTCAGCAAGTGAAAAGGCCCAAGTTGCACAATAAACCCAGGGCATAGAAGAAGCGTAATGATACCATTTTACCAGTCCCCCTCACGTGTAGCTAAACAAGTTTTACAGGACAATCTAACGTCGGTTTAGGCAGAAAGCACAGAGGACGCTTGCTCTCTGATTCTATGTTAATAATCCAACCTAAGACCAATTGGCAATAGGTGGAGAGACCTGACTTGAACATAAGACCACAGGAAATCAAGACTGAACATATGTAAGATAACACTGCTTTAACCGGGTGTCCTTACGTTGTTGAGTTAACAAGGTGTACAACTCTTTGTTTGTAGACACGGCACTGCTGCACTAAGTCAACAATCACCTCCTGCTTGAGTCCCTGAAATTGTAGAAGAAAGCTCAGTAAACATGCAAATAAAAAAATGAATATAGAAATGAAAACATAATATTCATAAAAAGATTATTAGATGATTTAACAGCATGAAACTCTAATGAACTCTGAAAAGTTCTACATTGTAAGTGTTGGAAAAACATAAAGTTTACACTGAAAAACTGGTTCAAAATCTGACGAATTTTAGCATAGACAACACAATTACTACACAGACCAGTTATATTTCGACTTTGGTTGTCACTTTTAATCCAATTAGACTCGTCACAAGGAATCCACATTACTATGCTCTTGCGAGAACACAAATTTGTTTTAGCAAGTTAACAAAATATATCCCTTCTCTCTACATATTGAATTGCGAACTTATACCTCTTTGTTTTCAGGATCTAATGCATTTAACATTTCTGCAAGGACATCCATAATACCACGTGCATTCTGAATTTCTGACATACTGGGAAACGGAACTCCAGTTAGAACATTAGATGCAAAACCAATGATTAAATACAAAGTAGGAAACAGTGAATTAGCAATGAAATGTCACTATCAATAATATGACACAAAAAATAATCCACATTTTTCAAGTATTAACTACTCTAGTATGTGAAAAGTCCCTATTGCTCTACCTCAAGAGGAAAAGGCCAATCACTGGAGTGGGAACACAACATCCATGTTTACCTGCTAGGGACAGGGATCGCTGTTTACCAAATTGAGAAGTCAAAACAAGTAGGATTTTTTGGCTCAATAACTCATTTTATTCCATCTTTAATGTACATTAAGTGAATAAAAAGTTTGTTCTGACAATTACTATTATTTTAATATATAAAAATATTAAATTAACCGTATGTACTTATTAGAATGGAATAACATCCTTATTACACAATTGAACCTTACTGTAAAGCTCAGAGAAGAAAGTATAAATTATTTCAAAGAGATTTATTATTTAAATAGTAGATGATGATAATAGGATTTACATGAGCAGCAGACTTTTGCTTAACCCATTACTGCAGCACAATTTCTACAAAGACATCAGGAAGAGTTTTTCTTCTTCCTTTTCTTCTTTTTCACTAAAAAGTCCTTGGTCATCTTAACATTGAAATAGAAATAATGGAAAACACGAAAAATATGATGCTTTTACTCATACAGCTTAAGTACAGGAAAAATACCTTAGGGCTGGGAACTCAGGCTCTGCAGAAGACTCACGTTGGGTATAAGACAAAGGTTGTGTTTGAGGAGTGAATACAGGGGCAGACGTCTCATTCCTCACAGGGAATACTGCCCCAGCATGCTGAAACATCAAACCAGTTTGAGTCAGAAGAAAAAAAAAGGTCACATTATCTGAAAGTGATACTCGTATCACATGTTTTGAATACAACAGTATCGAGAACAAAATATAGTATATGAATAAATGGATCCCAAGAAAAGCAGTTTGATATGAAAATCTCAGTAGTCATACCAATAACTCCCGGTATGCAGCATAATATTGTGGATATCTTGAATTTGTCCCAAAAGATTCTTGCCAACTATCAATCAGACTCAGTATCTTTTCTTTGACATGAAAATCGGGCTGCTGCACTTGAGCAGTACAAAAAAACTGAGAACAAGTTTTACTAGAAGAAAATAGATCAAAACAGGTGTTATAGTTACCTTTTTCCTGACCAATTTGATCATATCATTGAGAACATCTCTCTCTACAACATGTATATGAACAAGGTCCCCACAATTTTTTATGATAGTTTCTAGTAGCTAGAACATAGAAAGTAGATATAAAATTAAACAAGGTTAGATATATTTAAGAAATAGAAGCCGTAATAGTAATATCCATGAATTAGTACAAGTCAATATAAAAGTTCTCAAGTGCTTACAGTTAAGGCAAGAAGTTGAACTTTGGGATTTTTATGTCCAAGCCGCTTTTTTATGCCTTTTATAACATCTTTTGCTTGTCTGATAAACAACACTAATGTCATTTAAAGAACAGTAAATATTAACCAGAAAACGGTAAACTAAATCTTTTTTATGTTCTGCTTTCAAAGTGACTCAAATTAACTAAAACTCAACCAGAGAAAATAAACAAAAATAATAATCAAAAGTACTAGTATACAACATAATCATCGTTAAGCTGATCATGTTTAAAGTAGCTGACAATCTAATTCGTATCTGAAAAATGAAAATTGAAACGTCAGGATAATAAGGCAACAGCCAATGAAATTATCTATCACGTAGCAATCTTTCAACCTTGAGACAAATAGCTGAGGTCTCTATCACCAGGCTATATTTACATGATACCGACCCGTATTTGAAAGGCTTTATATCGCACACATGCATGAATTGGATTACATATTGAACGAAGGAGAAGAAAAAAATTGATCAATTTAGATAAACATCTTAGACCAAAATTCTATAATTTCTATAATATTATGAGAATTTCAATAACAACAAAATCGATTTTAGAAACAATATGAGAAAATAGGTTGGCCGTCTTCATATTCGTTTTTATTAATCAAATTCGGACGCAATAATTCTAAAGAGAGTGAGAGAGATGGGGGAGAGGAGAAACTAAAATCCAGTGCGACGCATACACAGGGTTGCGAGTAAGCAAGTCGCAGATCTCGAGATTCCTAGCCCAATCAGGTCCGATCAGCAAGCTGCTGGTTGCTTTCTCCACCATGGAGTTCACCATCTTCATTCACAAAAAGGCAATTCCCACCCAAAAAAGAACAAAAAAGGAATTATTATTATAAAAATAATAAAACATCAATCAAATTCCGGCCACCGTATCGGGTGGTCGCGAGGAACTGCGATACAGAAGGCGCCACCAAAAAAATCGATGTTTATTAAATAAACTCAAACAGCGAATAATCGGCAGCTCCTCCCTTTCTCCTCGCTTCTCCCTCCTATTCTGTCTCTCTCTACATAAATCGATTATATATTTCTTTTAAACGGAAAAAATATATATATTTTTAAAATTATCTGGGACGTAAAGGACGATCCAATGATGGTGTACCACGTATTATTAAAACGGTACTAAACACGTAGCATATCTAGATGTACTTGCCCTGATACGGATGGTTTGACTTGCTGACCGCTCATATCCAACTGTGTGTCAATTGTCCGCCTAAATTTGGTAATATAATACACAAATAAAATACTATTAAAATAATTAATAATCTTGCATATTAGTAGCAAAATCCTAATAAAATAGAATAAAGTAAATATTTAAGAGAAAATCGCCTCAGTGACCAAAAAAAAGTTATAATATACGATTTTAACCAACTTTTTTTGGATTTGCCAAAATGACCAACAAAATCGCAACGCGAAATAAAAATCGCAACGTGATCCCCAGAATCGCAAATCAGTTTCCAAAATCGCAACGCGATTCTTGAAAATCGCAATGCGATAGTACAAATTCGCATTGCGATTTTCCAAAATCGCAACGCGAATATGAAAATCGCAACGCGAACACATAAATCGCAACGCGTATCCGTAAATCGCAACGTGTATCCGTATATCGCAACGCGTATCCGTAAATCGCAACGATAATACATAAAATCGCAACGCGTATCCGTAAATCGCAACGCGATATTTAAAGCGCCATTATAATCGCTACGCGTATTTTATTTTCAAATTACAAAAACCAATATTAAGACAAAATCCCGTAATCGCAACTCATAACCTAAAACCTAAAATCACAACTCAGTCCCATCTCCATCTCTCACTCTCTACGGCGAAGAAATCCGTCCCCATCTCCGAAGATTTCCGTCCCCATCTCCGGCGAAATCCCTCACAACCATTCACGGTCAGAAATCCCTCACAATATTCAGAAATGGAAAATCAACCTCCGAGGGTTAGTTTTTTTAATTATTTTTATTTTGAAATGTTTGCATTATTGTAGGTTTTTCATATTGAAACTGATGATAAGTTTACTGGTCATTTCAATAATAGATTAACCATTTCACTTAGATTTCATTTCGCGTTACGATTCTGTCGTTGCGATTTTCATTTCGCGTTGCTATTCTCTCGTTGCGATTTTCAAGTTAGTATTTGTCTTTGTCTTTGTTCTGTCTTTTGGTTGAAGTATGCAATCATTCAAGTTTCAATTTGCAGAAGAGTCGCAACGAGATAAATGAAAATCGCAACGAGAGAATGACTGTCGCAACGAGAGAAATGAAAATCGCAACGAGAGAATCGCAACGCGAAATGAAAATCGCAACGAGAGAATCGCAACGCGAAACCAAAATCGCATTGCGATTTTCATTTCGCGTTGCGATTCTCTCGTTGCGATTTTCATTTCAACCAAAAGACAAAACAGTGTTGCAAATTTTAGTTTCAAGAATAAACTACTACTTTTTATGTTTATTGTTTTGGTATATCTTCACAGTGTAGTTTTTGGTATATCTAACTTGGTATGTTTATTGTTTTTGTAGAAATTTTTTTCGGCTCAATTGACCTTGAGAAATAAAGTCAGCCTGGCCACTACAATTGCTTCGAAGCTTTCACCTGCTCAAAGACAATTGTTTGAGGAAACCTGCTTCGGGCCATGGCTGAGAGTACAGCATCCGGGTGGAGATGCTAATTTGACCCATTTGTGGCTTCAGACCATGACATCAAATCTACCCGACAGTATACAACGTGGTGGAAGAGATATGGTTTCATTTTCCACCAGCGTATACTTGTTTTGGGCGGAAGGAGTTCTGCTTAATCACTGGTCTACGATTCGGACACGATGATGTAGGCCGGTACACTCGTCATATCGCCCGCCCATTATGGTTATCCCGGGTTTTTCCGGATGAGTCAATGGAGAAGCCGAACCTACATGTCGACGACCTGAAGAAATTGTTTAATAAGAAAGCTGGTTTCACTCGGATGGATGACGTCGATGTTGTCCGAGTATGCCTTCTACTACTTGTGTATGCCGGCTTTTTAGGCAGAGAGGCCAGACAACTATTCATCGGGAGCTAATAATATTGGTAGAGGACCTGAATGCATGGAATCTGTTTCCGTGGGGTTCGTATATATGGAAAGCTACCTGGACTAAGTTGTCGTCTGCCTTTGATGACCGCAAAAGTTTGCGGGGCGATGGGTCCAAATACACTTTGTCAGGCTTTGTTTGGGCCTTTAAGGTAAGAATTTCTATATAATGTTTCTAAATTATAATTAATTATTTAACAATTACTAATTTTGTTATTATATTGTTTGTAGATTTGGATATTCGAGGCTTTCCCCAGCATGCGTACATATGCAATAAAAACGTCAAATGATATTCCCAGGGCTATTTCCTGGAAGAGGAAAACTCTGTTGGATTGGGAAGACTTAATACCATATGCGACAATAAATAATGTAAGTTAACACAAATACTTTCATATAATATAAACAAGTTATTAATAGTAGACGTTTAACTTTGTTTGAGTTTTTATATTTTAGGAGGCCAACATTCCATTACAAAGACTGACACCCACGGAGGAAGAGCTTGCCACTGATTGGTGGCAAGCTAGTCAGAGTTTTTTTGATGGCACGGATGATGAGCAGCATCCACTTCCTCCAATTCGAGAGCCATCACCTCACCTAGAGCCATCACCCGATCGACCCGACTATACACCTCTAGAACGAGAGCCATCACCTATCCCGTCACATCATCGAGCCTCTTCTCCACCATCACCTCATGATAGGCGACCGGCAAAGATGCCACGACTCCTATCTCCCTGTTCTCCACCTCCACCTCAACGGGATGAGTCAAGGGAGTTACGTGATGAGGTCAATACCTTGCGTGAGGAGATCGGTACTCTACGCGATAACGATGGTGCATGGCGTGTGGAGGTGTCAACTTTACGTGGTGAGGTTGCCGCTCTACGTGAGATGATAGTATCGTTGCAGAATGAGGTTCATACTCTACGCAACGAGGTAAGTTTAAGATTTTCCATATTTAACTTAATGATAAATTTACTCGTAATTTCACTTAGATTAGCCATTTCACTTAGATTGCTTAGTAAATTTATTCGGTTGCTGCCAATTCTGCTAAACTGTGTATTCTTTAACACTGTGAAATAGTATTTGTCTTTGTTTTGTCTTTTGGTTGAAAGTAAATTTGTTCGGTTGCTGCCAATTCTGCTAAACTGTGTATTCTTTAACACTGTGAAATAGTATTTGTCTTTGTTTTGTCTTTTGGTTGAAAGTAAATTTGTTCGGTTGCTGCCAATTCTGCTAAACTGTGTATTCTTTAACACTGTGAAATAGTATTTGTCTTTGTTTTGTCTTTTGGTTGAAAGTAAATTTGTTCGGTTGCTGCCAATTCTGCTAAACTGTGTATTCTTTAACACTGTGAAATAGTATTTGTCTTTGTTTTGTCTTTTGGTTGAAAGTAAATTTGTTCGGTTGTTGCCAATTCTGCTAAACTGTGTATTCTTTAACACTGTGAAATAGTATTTGTCTTTGTTTTGTCTTTGGTTGAAGTATGCAATCCATTCAAGTTTCAATTTGCAGAAGAAGAAATAGTTTACTTTCGCAACTCGAAACTTAAAATCGCAACGCGAAACCAAAATCGCAACGCGAAATGAAAATCGCAACGACAGAATCGCAACGCGAAACCAAAATCGCAACGACAAGATCGCAACGCGAAACCAAAATCGCATTGCGATTTTCATTTCGCGTTGCGATTCTTTCGTTGCGATTTTCATTTCGCATTGCGATTCTGTCGTTGCGATTTTCATTTCGCGTTGCGATTTTGGTTTCGCGTTGCGATTTTAAGTTTCGTGTTGCGAAAGTAAACTATTTCTTCTTCTGCAAATTGAAACTTGAATGGATTGCATTACTTCAACCAATAGACAAAACAAAGACAAATACTAACTTCAGGGTATTAGTTTGAAACATATTTTTCTTTGTTATCTGATGCATTTTGTGAACTATGATAGAATAATGACTTGGGTGAATACAATGCAAGTTTGAAACATATTTGTCTTTGTTTTCACTGTTTAAATATCATGTCTGTTTATTTACTGATTTTTGTATTTAATTATTTAGCGGCCCGATAGAGTGGATGCTTTACGTCGGGTTATGCTTGCACGACGGAGTTCACGCATCAGACAGCGTGCACGTGCTATTAAGTCTCCGTACACCCCAATAGTGCGAAGACACCGCAAGAAGAAGCCCGACTCGCCTGTCATCCCTCAAGAGTCCACTCCTATCGTTGAAGAGGCCCCCCCTATCATTCCTCGAGAGTCCCCTCCCACCGTTCAAGAGGCCACTGTCATCATTGAAGAGGTCCCTCCCACCATTCAAGAGCCCGATTCACATGGCGTCATATGTAGGCTTCTTGAGAAACCCTCTGACGTGCCGGACATGATGGATTCAAGTTGGCTCTCGTATGAGTTACCGGCCAGTACCATACCGGTATCTGAAGAGGAGGGGGATCAACTACCGGACACAATTCTGGATAACACCCTTTGGGCTAAGACCGCTGTTGATTTTTATCTACATGAGCAGAGCCAGGGGTGTTTCACTGACATATGCAAGCTCACCGATGATATCTATTGTTGCTTGATCGGTCTTGGTGGGGCGTATTATTAGGGGTCGAAGACAATGGCTATTTCGATGGGGGGTAAGTCTTATATTTTTCTTATATTTCAATTTGATTAATTTTTTTTTAAATTTATGTAAGTCACTAATATATGTCTTTTTTTGTAAAAGCATATCGATGCGTGGGTGACACGTCTTCTAATAATAAGAAAACTTAAGAAAAATAAAAATATACGATATACAATTATGCCGACGTCTTTTCACGCCG